AGCAAGTCATGTTCATCCGTGTGCTGAACATTTCTTTTTTTATTATTTTTTCTACTGATTTTCCAGGAACAGGAGTTAGGCTCACTGGCCTGTAGTTCCATGTCCCCTCTAGACCCTTTTTAAAATATTGGAGTTACATTGGCAACCTCCCAGTCCTCTGGTACTGAGGCTGTTTTTAGTGATAGGTTGCATACTACAGTTAAGAGCTTGGCAATTTCCAATCTGAGTTCCTTCAGGACTCTAGGATGAATGCTGTCAGTTCATGGATTTTCAACCTTTTTGGATCAGTGTACCCCTGGTGGCCGGTCAAGAAGGCAGGAGTCCCCCAGCGGCTGGATGAGGGGGGCAGGTCCCCTGCGGCTAATCGGTGCCTGATGCCAAGCACCCCCTGAGGTCATTCCAGGTACCCCCAGGGGTATGCATACCCCTGATTGAAAACCCCTGGTTTAATTTATCAGTTTTCTCTATGACCTTATCTATTGACACCTCAGTTTGGGTCTGCTCCTCTAACCTGTCCCTAGAGAGAAAGTGGACCTGGTGAGGGATTCTTCCTAACATCTTTCACAGTGAAGACAGATGCAAATAATGTATTTAGTTTCTTGGCAATGGCTCTGTCATCCTTTAGTGCCCCTTCTACACCCTAGTCATCCAGAGGCTCAACTGACTTCCTGAGGCCTTTGGCTTCTGATGTGCTTAAAGAAATGTTTATTGTTACCTTTTATGTCTGTAGCAAGTTTCTCCTCAAATTCTTTTTTAGCTTCTTATTACAGTTTTACATTTGATTTCCCAGAGTTTATGATTTTTTATTTTCAGTTTTGAAAGAAGACTTTTTTCTGCTTATTGGCTCTTCAACTCTGCCATTAAACCATGCTGACTTTCCTTAGGTCCACTTTTCATTTTTTTTATTTGTGGTATGCATTTTCTGTGTGCCTCCAAGTGTTTTTAAGGAGTTCCCGTGCTGTTTGCACATTCTTCACCTCCTTAAAGGCTCATTTTAACTTCTGTCCAACTCAGGGGCCGCCCATTATTTCAGGCGGAGGGCTGCTTACTAAGTTTTGGCAAGCCATTGAGGGCCGCATGACAGGCAGCCAGGGGCAGATAAATATTAATTTTATAAATTTTTAGGGGCCCTGCGGGCAGATAGAATGGCCTGGTGGGCAGCATCTGGCCTGTGGGCCACATTTTGCCCACCCCTGATCTGACTAATTTCCTTTTTTTGGTGCAGTCTCCCTTTTTAAAGTTAGACTACAGTGTTAGATTTTCTTCTTGTCTCCCCTTCTACGTGAATGTCAAACCCAATTGCTTTGTGGTCACTATTACAGGGCGGCTCAGTAACACTTACCTGTGCACCAAATCCTGTGCACTGCTTAGAACTAGGTCAAGAATGCCCTTTCCTCTTGTAGGTTCCAGGACTAACTCTTCCAAGAAGCAGTCTGTTATAACTTCAAGAAATTGGGTCTCTGTATCCCAGCCTGATGTTAGATTGACCTAGTCTCTTTTTGGATAGTTGAAATCAGCCGTTATTACTGTGTTTTTTGCTGTCAGAGCCTCTGTCATTTCCCTTAGTATTTCTTGCTCACTTCTGCCGTGGTCTGGGAACCTGTAGTATATCCCCAGATGTACTTTTTTCTGTTGAAATCCAGTATTTCTATCCACAGAGATTCTATGGTGTCTATCTTATCAGTTAAAAGTCTACCCAATTTGATTCGGTGGTGTTTTTGATGTAGGTTGCTACTTCCTCAGTAGTACAGCCTAATCTATTTTATAGGCTGCATCCAGATGAGTGTGGCCATGTGGTATGTGGTGCTGCAAACACGTCTGCAGCACCACATACTGTGCATTCAGTTCTCCATGCTGCAGGGGGGCAGCACAGGGGTCAAAAAAACCTGTGCCAAAAAAAAGTAGAGCGGTGCACACAGGGGCAGCACATGCTATTCAAAATGAGAGCCTGGCCAGCCAGAGCCATGCTCCAGCTGCCAGCTAGACTGAACAGCAGAACTGCTGTGGCTGCAGCCCCAGGAGGCCCCCAGACCCCCTTAGGTAAGGCTGCTGGAGCCAGCCTAGTGCTGGCCCTGGCCTCTTCTATCCCACCCAGGGTAACTTGCCATGTGCTAGAGCAGGGGCGGGCAATTATTTTGGGCAGAGGGCCGCTTACCCAGTTTTGGCAGGCTGTCGAGGGCCACATGGGTAGCCCTGCCCCTTGACAGGTGCCCCGCTCCCAGTCACCATCTTGAGACCAGTGTCCCAGGGCCAGCACCGGTGGGGCCCATAGCAGGACACAGGCTGGCAGGGGTCTGTGGAGCTGGGCTTGGCTGCACCAGCAGGGAGGGGGGAGCTGGCCCGGCTCCATAGAGCCCCTGCCAGCTGGGACCCTGCACTCCTGCCACCCTGCTCTGGGCCCACGACACTGGTGTGGGCCCTGTGCTCCCATTGGCTCCCTGCCTGCTCACACCTAGTGCAGCACACAGCCCCAACCCCCTGCTTGCCAGCAGGGAAGAAGCTGGTGCTGAGCATGGGGGAAAGTGGCCCCTCACCTGCCCCATGGCCAGTGCCCCGTGCTGCAGGCACTCGCAGCCCATGCAGGGCTGTCTGGAGCAACTAGCACCACTGCTAGTTGTCCCTAAGGAACCAAACATCTGCACTCATGTAGCTGTGGCCATAGAGAAGTGAGGCTGGAAGGAACCTTGAGAGATCATCTAGTCCAAGTGGGATTGAACCTGCAACCTTGGTGTTATTAGAACCACACTCTAACCAACTGAGCTAAAGGGCCACTCATGGCTGTACAATTTGTATTCTAAAATTACAGCATCCTATTGATTTTTTTTTTTTCCCGCTTCATTCCACTATGTTTCAGAGATACCTATTATGTCAATAACATCATTTACTCCCCCACCTTTGACCTTAGATTTTTAACAGCAGTGTAAAAGCACATACACTTTTTATTGCTGCCTGGCCACTTCTGTGTGACTTTTTAATCATTAAAGATAGTTGCTTGTCTTCTCTGTTTCTTATCTCCATTTTTTATGGTTTCTCCCCTGTAGGGGTTGTCAGTCTGAACTGTGTGCTGTTCCACAGCTGTTGGCTTTCCTCCCATTTTTAGTTTAAAACCTGTTCTATCTCCTTTTTAATATTACATGCCAGCAATTTGGTACCATTTAGGCTCAGGCATAGACCATCCTTTCTGTACAGGTTCCCCCATTGCAAAAGATTCCCCGGTTCCTAATAAGCCTAAAACATTCCTCCCTACACCATCGTCTTGTTTGCTTCGTTCCACCTTCCCAAAAATCAAGACACATGTCTTATTTGTGGGGAGTAGCATGCAAGTTAAATAAAGTATTACTAACATTTGTGGAATCACTGCTGTAACTGAAAGGGATGGGGAATATTTATTTATTCATTTATTCATTCATGCATTTGCCAGTATTTTCTGTGCAGTCAGTTGCACCATAATGTTTCCCCTGTTCAGGTATGTCTCACATAGCAGTCAAAAATATCTTTAAAAAATAAGAAACTTCAGTTGTAATAGTACATCACTTTGGCAAATCCTCAGGGTCATGAACTCTACCTGAAACTACTACTTTGCTTTTTTATGACTGTTTTTGAATAGTGGATTCAGTGAAATAAGAGCAGCTTCAATATATATGTCTGAGAGGAAAAGTCAGCAGAAAGGGCATAACATCAGCAAATAATATTTCAGTTTTCATAATGATGTGGTACTGTTGGGAACTGCAAAATACAACCTGAGCCTGTGTACTTTGTAGTAATATGGACTTCAGTTGCATAGGACCGTAACTTTTATTCTTTAGCAATCAGGTTCTTGGGCACTGAAGGCTATGCAGAAGCTTTGTTAGTATTAAAAGACAAAAGATAATGAACTACATACTTGTTTCCCCAGTTCCTGTTTTCCTTATATGTGTTATATGTACAGTATGTTGTAGACAGCATTGATGGAAATGGTAAACTAGAGATTCAGGCAACAGAGGAAATAATCTTTAATTGTTTTAGCTGATAGTGTTATGAGAAACAATTAAATAGCTTCTTCCTTTGAAGAGTTAATCCAACCTCTTACTTAGCCCCTAGCCTACTCTTCTGTCTGTATAAATAAAGCTTTGACCAGAATTTAGTCATGCTTTCAAGCCTACTCTAAGTGATGGATTAAAGCTTGGTTAGGCTTTCAGTCAGGCTCATTTCTGCCACTCATTCTGCAGTGAGGAACAGGCTAATTACTTGAGTGCTGATCATTGGGCAGTTCCTTTCCATAATTTCCCCTTGTATCTGGAAGGATAAAGTGCTCTCACAATTCACTAAAAAAGATCCAAGAGTAGCTCAGTTTACAGCAGCATAAAGGACATATCATGCACTCTCATACATCCTAGCAACATAAGCAGGGGAGTGCAGCACCAGCCAAGATACAGTATTTAAAGTATGGTTTTGCAGAGTGGCTGCATGTAGGGTTGTCTGACCTAGGTGCCAGTCACCCAAATTAGCTCTGCAGTGAAGACAAGGCCCAAGTGTACAAGAGGGAAAGTTCAACATTTCTTCCAAACTAATTAGTAAAATAACTAACATTGATATCTTAACTTAAAACTAGACAGGATTATTTATCTAAGAATTTAAATGAATGCAGCCTTTCACAATTGCAGAATGTTCTGAGCTTTCTGCATACTCTGGAAGATGGTATTGTATTGGCTCAACTGTGATCACTTCCTTTAATGGACAGTTTCACAGCCATAAAGCTTTTTGTTTCCTTTCAAGAAAAACTTAGAAACACCTACCTATGGCCAGCACTGGATTCTTTAGAAAATAATGTAATCAGAGAATAGATATGTATCTATATATAATTAAGACAGAATTCTTCCAGCTCTTTTAGTTTAGTATCATTATGCATCCTAATAATAGGGATAATGCTAAAAAAGAAGGAAAAAGTAGGTGAGCCAGTATATAGGTGAGAATTTAAGTTTTGGCCAGAGTTGCTGATGCTAATTTTTTTTTTCCTTTAGAGAAATTCACTGGGAGATATTCAACCTTTTGCTACTAGTAGCAGAAATACAAATTCATCATGTTCACAGTATAATGTCAAGCTGACCCAAGCTATTAGCCATGATGTCAGTCTTCATGAAGCTATGTTTCTGAGATCAAACAACACCACAAGGATAAAACCAGAAATGCGAAGCTTACAAAGACGAGAGCCTTTTCTACAATTAAATTCTAGCATCACAAATCATGAACCACTGCTTAATGGGACCAGTTTGATGGGGCTGTTTCCATCTGTTGAAATTAGGAACCTAACAAACCAGGATCATCAAACAAATCTTGAGGAAAATATATTTGATGAGATAAATACAATGTCATTAGCTTTGGAGGAAGGTTTTGATCATATGGCAATCTCCCAGCTCTTTGGAGAACTAGACTCTGATTCTGGACTTTCTATAAATTCTAACCACAGCACTGCCTTTTCAAACTCTGATTCATCAGCTGCTTCAGTCTGCAGTGAAGGTGCCGTTGGTTATAGCACTGATGCCAGATCTATTTCCCATAATGTCTTAGGAGCTGTAGGGAATCATTTCCCAGAGCCAAGTAAATATTCCCATATGGATTATCAAAGAGATTTAGACTATTTGGGGAAATCAACACTTCAACAACTTCTTCATAATCACACTTACAATCAGCTGCCAAATCAATTAACAACCACTTCTGAGCATTGTTCCTTGTTGCCTGGAAAACCAGATGAAGAAAAGAGCAGATGCCACAACAGTACAGATGCAAATCTTAGTCGTGACGAGTGCCATGCAAAAGCCCTGAGAATTCCATTTTCCATAGATGAAATTGTGAGCATGCCTGTTGATTTGTTCAATAGCATGCTATCAACCTACTACCTGACAGATTCCCAAATATCACTTATACGTGACATAAGGAGAAGAGGAAAAAACAAAGTTGCTGCACAGAACTGCCGCAAACGTAAACTAGATGTGATCCTGAACTTGGAAGAAGATGTTTGCAACCTTCAAGCACAAAGGGAGAGCCTTAAGAAGGAGAGAACTCAGTGCAATAAATCAATTAGCCTTATGAAGCAAAAACTATGTGACCTTTATCGTGACATTTTCAGTAGGTTAAGAGATGACCAAGGTAGACCTGTTAACCCGAGCCAGTATGCTGTTCATTGGAGTAGTGATGGCAGTGTTTTCATAATACCCAGGAGACTAGTCAAATCTGAACATAAACAAGATGAGCAAAAGAACGGAAACAAAAAAAAGTGATGTTAATTTATCCAAATTGTTCAGGACATCATTTTAAAGGGGGGTAGTGAAAACAGAGGCATTAACACTGGAGACCAGAAATGCTTATAGTAATATAAAAAACAACCACCTGGATAAAACTAATATTCCTAGACTTGAGAAGGTGGCCCTTGTGTTTAATGATTTAGGAAGATTTTTTTATATAAATACAGTAACTTGTTAAGAATTAGAAGCTACAACAATTCAAACCTTCCAATTTAGACTGAGCAGTTGAACTTCACATACAACCAGAGTTACTTGAGGATATCAGACCATCAGCAGAAGCATAACCTAGTGTAGATTTTTTTGCTGTTAATGGAGTCTGTGCTCAGCATTGGCAAATACTGTGTTTATGGGTGCATATGAATAAAGAGTAATATGGAGCATTCAGGGTCTAAAAGTTAATTCATAGTTGAAACTAGGAACACTATTTTCTTGAAGAAAATATGAAATAATGCAAAAAAAAGTTAAACTGGAGATCAAAGCTGTAAATAGAGGATTGGAATTTTATTTTCACTTTAAATGCCTGACTCTCGAAATGTAAAGTGACCTTAGATTTTGATTGAGTCTGTTAGCACTGGAACAAAAATCTTAGCCTTGCAAATGTTTGTCTTTTAATGGTTTTGTTTTTAATTTATGCATTTTTTTTCTTTTTGTGGAAGTAAATTATGCTTGTTGTGTTTGTACTTCTTCAAAAATTCTCTCTCTTCCCTAGTTTTCTGAAGGGGTTCTGGAGGATTATATGCAAATTTCTGTACACATACATTTATAGTGATAGTTTCAAACACATTTAATACTTGCGCTGCCATTTTTCTCCAAGTACACCCAGACATAAAGTTTGCACTAAATTCAGTACTGTGTTACACCAGCCTTCTGTTTAAAGCTGAAGGAATGCAATGGTGAATCAGTTCTTTTCTGTGATTTGTGTTCCAGCCTTGTGTTGTACTTCTAGTGTGGCATTTCTCAGTCTCAATAAGTTGACCCTTCTCGGTTTTCTCCAAGGGAAAATTACATAAGAAAAGTAAGTTTTTAGATTGTGCCTTTTATTTTTATTGATCTTTTTGTAAGCACCTTACCTTTTTTAATCAGATTCTTTTTCAAGCGGATTTGCTAATAAGAATCCTTTTTCAAAATTACATTTTTAAAGTCTTCCAGTTTAAACAAACTACTAAATTATTTGTCTTACATTTATAGCAGCAAGATCACAATGCATTTGGTGGTAGCATTGTATATGATTATATGGCTTAGAGATTCTAGCTTTAGCCTTTGATGTGAATTTATTTGTGCTATAAGTGCCAAAAGTATTTACCTCTTTATTTGCAATGGCTCACATGTTCTAATTCTGACCTGAAAGAGCTGCAGAATGATGGCTTCTAAGAAAAGCAGGTACACAATGTTAAGCTAGGGAATTAAACCAAAAATGTGGTAATGTATGATACCACCATTGGCTACCAGATAACAGCATAAATACACTTGGTATCTTTTATAATACAAAATACTACAAAAAATATAGTATTAAATTTTATAATACAGAAAAAAAGGTATCCATTGCATCAGGATTGTCACACAACAGCTTTGTGTCCAAACACTCGAAAAAGTACTGTAGTAAGCCCATGTTAAATTCCCTTTATTGCATCAATCAGTGGTTTTGAATTTTCTGAACTTATGTTAACAGTGATTTAGAACAGCAAATGCAATGTTATCCATTCATAATTTGTAAAATCATGTACTGTTTGCTTGATAATGCAAAATTTATTCTTAATTGTTGTGATCAAGAAATTAGATTCCTATTAATATTTTTTCAAAATGCTTTTGTACATTAAAAGATTTCTTGAATTTGTGTCCATTTCATTTCTAAATAACCTTGCTGCATTTCTAGAAACACTGGATTAAATTTGCGTAGGTACTAACTAAACAGTTCCTTGAGATGCTGTTTAACATTTTCTAACGTTTTAGAGATCACTTGTAATGGTTAGCATATAGAAGGAATTCTTTGGATCATTGGCCTTTTTTTTTAAAGACACCAAAGCTTTTATATATTCTGGTTTATAAAATAAGCTCAGATCTTACCGATTTTTGGAACGTAGTAGGCCTGTGCGAAGCACCAGGTATTTGCTTTGGATTCGGCTGATTTGAAGGGACAGTGATTCGATTTGCCAATTCAGATCACTGTCCCGATTTGATGTGGCCAATTCAGATTCGGAGATTCAGCCACAGACTATAATGAGGAATCACTAAAATACCTATGACTTCGTCCTTTTTTTGCAGAATTGGATGGAAATAGCAAGGGTGGTAGCCTGCCAAGTTTCAAGGAGACAGGTGCAGGGGTTTCTGTGAAAGTGCACCTCAGACACAGCTTTATATGTTGTTTCTATGCCCCTCCCCCAGAGCACTGCGATTGGAAGGGAACTCAGGGAAAGATCAGTTATTGACCAGCTGTCAGTATCAGAGCAGTCTTTCCCCCCCACCTCAGACTTTTCCATGTATGGAAGATCATGCCATCCCCCTCCCTTTGACTTTTTGTGTGCTGCAAGCCTTCCAAATTGCCACATCGGAAGTCTCTGAATCGATTCGGATCTTTTAATGGGCCTCCTGATTTGATTTGGATTCAGAGATTCGGCCACCAAATCGGGCTGAATCTCCTCCGAATTGAATCGGCTACCGAAGCTTTGCACATGCAGTATGTTTTAGTTCTCCAGTATGCAGTAGTTTTGCTGACATCTGAAAAATAACTCCTGCTATTCAAGTTGTGCCTATGCAATTTTTTTCTCAGAGTCTGAGAATCACAGGGCCTTCAGGAATCACTGAGAAAAGTGGAAGGACTTACAGGGTTCGAGATTGAGCCCCAAGTCGATAAGAGGAAATAGACCAGTAAAAGCAAGTCTTTATTTTATAAAGGGGGCTTTGGCAGGGCAGGTAGTCTGGCCAGCTCTTTGGATCAGAGCCAGCACAAGAAACTCTGAAGTCTTTAGTGCATGGTAAAATGTGCATATGTAAGTTATGAAACCTATACAAAACTGAACTGAGCAAAATTAATAAGGTAAATGGGGGAGAGGATTTCTTTCAAGTACTTTAACTGTCAAGGAAAAAGTAGGGTAGCCTCAGTGGGTGTTGCTGAGAAGGCCAAAAAGAGATTACGAAGGAGTTGTCAAATTGGGGAACAGTTAATTAAATTGCTAGTGTTCTGGTGGAAATGGTAAGAGGAATTAGTAGCACTGTCAGAGCCCTTGAAAAATCAGTATCACAGCTAAATAGTCAAAGTTCCTTTTTACTTAATCGCAATACTGTAGACTAAAGAAGTATCTGTAAGCTCTAAGCTGACTGTTAATTCCACTGATTTTACTCTTCAAACATTTAACTTTTTCCTATGGAAATCTCAATTTCTGGGAAATAAACCTTCACCCTCCTTACAGAGAAGCTACTGCTAGTTTATGTATTTTAGTAATTAAATAGAGATAGCAGAATAGATTCTGTGATCATTGGTTCTGCCTTGTTTGGCCCCAGCAGTCTTGTATTCTTAGACCATAACTGGTGCCCTCACTAGAATATTCAAAGTTTTTATGCAAATTCAATTTCTCTTGATTTATCCCTGTGCTACTACCATGAGAATGCCATGGGTCTTACCCAGAAGCTCTGGATATTTACTGTTATACTGTAACTTATACAAGGGAGAGGAGAACAGCAGAGAGTAACAATCAAGATTTAATGTCTGTAAGGCTCCAGCTGATAATGTAACCACTAAGGAAACCACCACCAGGCTGATAAGTACTCCTATTTATGACAAGAGCTGGTAGTTGACTTAATAGTTTTGAATCCAGGGCCAAATATAAACTTCTATTATGCAAACTGCTCTTTTCTTGAGAACTACTAGTAGTGGAGATGTGGCATAAAAGGCATATTAATTCTATTCCAGATGACCTCCTTTCTGAACTAATCAGAACTATTTTTCTCATGGTAGCAGCATAAATGCTAAAGGTGCACCCATAGAGATTTTTGGGGCTGATACTGACAGCTGATTTTGAAGGAGGCATAGTCAGCTGCTACGATCTGATTTCTGATACAGCTGCGTACTGCTGGTAAGTCTGGTGTAGTGGAAAGGGAGGGGGCAGGGAATGGGTATTGGAGGGCAGAGCAAGGCCCCCTCAGTGAAGGAGGGAGTGGGGCTGGGGCAGGGCAGGGCATAGGACAGAGCCACAGCACACTTGGGTACAGGGAGGGGAGGGCAGGGTGCACGCACCCCAGATCTGCACACAATGTGGTTGAGGCAGGCTGCAGCTGGGGGCTGGGGCTGGCACCAGGGTGATGCCAGACAGGTGGCAGCAGCACTGGGAGGAGACTAGAGGAGGGCTGTAGCCACCCCAAAAATTGCTGTCACTGCCCCGTAACATCCCCTTCCAGTGCCGCCACCGCTGCCCACTGCATGCAGATCAAGGGGCACCGCTGCCCCCTGAACAAGCTGTGGCTCCATTCCACACCCCTCCCCCAGCCCCACAGCCTCCAGGCCTTGATCTGCCTCCCCCCTTCCACCACAACAGACTTGCCATCTGCATGCAGCTCTCCACACTGCTAGCTGCGCTCCTCACTGACTGCATGCTGTGCTGCGGCTGCGTATCAGCCAAATTATCAGCCACTTCAGGCTGATTTCCAATATAGACCATTTTCTTTATATCGGTGCTGATCCGATATTGGACCAATGTACCAGTGCACCTCTAATAAAAGCATTTCAAGCTCCTACTGAAAAGTACCTAATGAAAGTTCTCCTTTGATTAGTAAAGTTTATCTTTCGGCTTCTGTGTCTACAAGGTAACTGCTGGTACTGCTTAGTCTGCATCTGTGGTTAAGATAACTTATCAAGATAATACCTTTTCTGAGAAGACCAAGTAGTATGATATAATGCTAGAAACTACTATTTACAAACATAAATAGCTCTTGATACAAATGTTGATAATGATCTTCTCCTATTGACTCTGGGATTTTCTAGTTTGTATTTGTATTATTGGAATTTGTCTCCTTTCATTTCTAAAGACCCAATTATTCTTTCCTGCTCATGCAGGGGGCTGGACCCAATGATCCTTTGGGGTCCCTTCCAGCCCTATGATTTATTTTTTGGATTTATATCCCTCAGCCAAAAGGCTCAAAGCTAGAATAACAAACAAACTTGCCTTCCTTATAGCAGAAACAGATTTCATGGAAGTATCCAATAGCAAGAGAACTGAAAGGTCTATTCTTTTGAGGTGTTCTTGAGAACTGGCCAGGTTTGCAGATGATACCGTCATGCTTGAAGATAGGCTGCAGATACAGCTAGATGCAGATAGGCAGGTTTGCAAGTTGAGCGGACCAGAACCAGATGAAGTTCAATGTCAGGAAATGTGAAGTGCTCCACCCAGGGATGAACGATCCCCTGCACACTTACAGGTTGGCAACACCAACCTGACCAGTACTACCAGTGAAAGGGAGCAGCCAGGAACAACAGACCCCAGTATGAACGTGAGCTGGCAGTGTGACACTGTATCCAGCAGAGCTAACAATACCATGGACATGCATCCACCGATGCATCTCCAGCCAAACCAAAACAGTGATTCTCCTACTCTGCTCAGTATTGGTGAGACCGCATCCAGTTCTGGGTGCCACACTTTAACAAGAACATGGTAAAGCTTGAGTCCAGAGATGGGGCACCTGTATGATCAGAAACTTGCACAGCAAGCCATGAGGAAAGGCTGGGGGATCTGGGACTGTTCAGCCTGAAAAAAAGGCTGAGAGGGGACTTGGTAGCAGCTTACCTCTACAGAGGCATACATCTAGGGCTTGGTGAACAACTCTTCACCAGGGCACCCTTGGGGAAAACTAGGAGTAATGGTCACAAACTCCTGGAAGACTATTTCAGGCTCAGCATCAGGTAAAACTTTTTAGTTACCATGTTCAGACTGTGGAATAAGCTCCCACTCTTCAAGACTGGACAGTCACCTTGCTGGGGTCACCTGACCCCAGTTATCTTTCCTGCCTGGTGCAGGGGACTGGACCTGATGATCTTCTGAGGTCCTTTTCAGCCCTTTACAACAATCTATGGCTCTCTGAGTTCTTCTGCTTCTGTACTTCCAGCTTCTGCTTACAGAAATAGTAAGTACAGAAATGTGGTATCTTTACAAAAAGGGATTCTATGGATTCTTTTATGTTGTCATTGCCTGCAAAAGCAAGGGATTGAACTGAGACCCCCTTATGTTTCCTGAAGACATTTTGAAGTTGGGTAGAGTGATGATGCAGGGATCCTGGTTTTCTCAGATTAAAAAATAAATAAAATCACAAATTCTCTGACAAAACATCCCAAATGCATTATTACAATTAAAAGCCCCCTGCAGCCCTCATGCCCACTTGCCCCCAGAAATGCCCCCCCACTCATGCCTCCTGAATTG